CTCAGTACTTTTGCTTTGACCAAAAAAAAACAAAATTCCACCCAACTTATTGCAGTAAAGTTAGAAGATGATGTGGAGCTGAAAATGCTCTGTCAATTAAATCTGCAAACTGCTTTCCAGAAGTTAAATAATTTTGTTTGAAATTGTGACCTTTATAAATATACAGCTATTTTTGATTTGCGTCCAAAACTGCTGGTATGATCATCAAGGTTAGACGTTCTGTTACTGTACAAAAATGCTTTGGGTTATCGAGGAGTGTCATTCTAAAAAGTTCTCCTAATATCGCAGAGCTGGCCTAAAGAAAACATAAAGAAAAAACTACATTTTTGCAGTAAGTGCAAGAAGGGACAATTTGAATGCTCCTTCTGATTTCATGAGACAACTAGAAAATAACTTGTCTGTAGAGAAAAAAAGTCAAATGGGAAACATGATGAACCAAATCATTTGTGCTCATTACAGTTACTTTTCACCAAGCAGAGTGGGTTTCTATTCAGTCCTGCCTCCAAATACCTTCATAAAAAGAGTGGGCTGAAAATGTCAGCAATTTCTTACATGCAGTAAACAAACTGAGGAGGATCAGTGTATTTCCCACCATGTTGGATCAATGTGCCACAAGGCTAAAGTGATTGGAAATGTGAGTCACAGATCCCAATATCGAATTTTAAACTCATGGTCAGGAAAGTCCACTGATCTTTAACCTATTTAAGAAAATGTAGGAGCATAAATAGAAGAGAAGAAAACTGTGGTCCACTGAAGGCATTAATAGGATGAGAATGAATCAATATCCATTAGGATTTGTCCCAGAAGCTGATATGAAGCATGTGGGTCAGCACTGTAAATACTGACTCCAATGAGTGTCTGTAATTTTTTTTCTTACATATCAATGAAATTCTTTAATGTATAAAAGAAACACTAAATAATACAAAAGCTGTTTCACTGCTCCTCACATTGTGCTGAAAACGTTCCTTAATTGAAATCTGTTAAGTTTTAACTGTGTCTTTTGATATCAGGTGAACCACAGACGACCCGACCTACGTAAACTCATCCAAACAATTTGGACTATGGTGTTTGCAGTTTCTCCCACATGCATGCCTGCAAGCTGTTTATAAAGCTCTAGAGGGCCTCATTGGAGCCCTGACTGTTGGTCTTCTGCACAAACAAGTAAACAAGTGAATTGTGCAAAGAAGCAAACAAACCAGCTCACCGGCTGCCCGACTAATTCAGCAGATGGCTATTGGAGACATTTGTTGCAAACCAGTTTTAATTAACTGCCCCCTTCAGTTAAAATGGGATGAAACGCAAAAGTGAAAATGACTTGTTTTTCTCATCAATAGGTAGTGGCATGTAGGTTTTCAGAGTGACTGCACTTTCTAAATGATTAAAGCAGTTACGGAGGCTTAAATGACACTCAATTTATTCTTCCCATTAAAGCATGCGGACCGCTCCAGCCCCTGATGTCAGCCTGCCGCACTGATCCTGCAGTGAAGGGAAACTGTTCCACATGGCTTACTGTGCTGTCAGTGGAGGTGATCAATGAGGGCCTAACTGAGTGAACCTGACCAGCCGGGTTAGCCTGCTTCTGCTGGACTTCTGAAAGAAGCTTAGATATTAATAAAACAAACACTTTTTGTGACACTTACCAATGTCCGTTTGTTGCTTTTTTCAAATCACACTTAAATGCAGTCAAAAATTAGATACTAATAACAAACTTGACCCTACGTGAAGCAGTTATTAGCCCCTAAACCAATTTACCGATTGTCCAGTCCTTGGCAGCAAAGAGAAATGCTGTCAACCACGAGTCTACAGAATCCCTGAGGAACTTTGATCCACTCTACTTGAAAGAATTGTTTTAATTCAGCCGTACTGGAGTTTTGGGGTATAGAATGCCTAGTAAGAATCATACCTCAGCATCATATCAGATTTGAATACTTACTATGTACTTGATGAGTACAAAACTCTTTTTTTCTATTTTCCAGGAATGTAAATTGGAGTGTGCTTTGCTTCTTTGGGATTTTTTCCGAGTGATGTACATCATTTGCCAATCATTCTGAGTGAATCCATGACAAATGCCATCACCGTATTTCACTGTTAAATTCTGCTATTTTATTGAAACGTCATACTTGTTTAATGATGACTTTCTAACATAAATCCAGGTTACTTGAATGTTATTTTTGTCATCTCATAAAGAAATAAGTTGTTATCTGTATTTTGCATTGAATTAAATTTGTTTTAGTCTGATAGAAAGTTTCTCAGGTGGTCTCAGATATTTTGGTGAGAAAAACACCAAAACAGAAGAAATCTGCCCCGGGGCAAATACTTTTCCACCAACACTTTTAAACGATGTTTGGGAACGTTTGGGAATGGATAAAAAAAAAAAAAAAGAAGGCAGTGTGTTTCCCCAGAGTAAGAGCTGCCAGGGTGAGGAGAAAATTGCTGAAGAGGATTTTTTTTTCTCATACATTTCACACAAATCAATTTAAACCTAATCAAGCTTTGTGTAAATTACCGCTGTATAGGACTGATGCTGTGGCACAACTGAGGAAAGTCAATGACACGTTTTGTTTTGCTATTAAACATTTTAATCCTGGATTTCATAAATATTAAGGACACAGAGTACACGGCTTATTACATTCTTGGTGTTGCAGATTCAGTGAACCATAGACTCACATTTACAACTGGGAAACTTACCGGAAAGTTTTCCAGTCTGACCTTTGACAATGAAATTTTGCTGACAGAAACCTGCTCTCATTTTTGGCATTTTAGCTGTGAGCCAAAAATGTGAGAGAACAAGACAATATTAATGATGAGCAACATAGTGTTTCAAAGTGACTTTTTTATAGCAACTTCTTAAAGTTGCTATAAATTAAACGTCTGTAGAACCTGCTGAGCCATGTGGTTTCATGGTGTTATATGTGCAATGCTCTGAACGTTTTTACATTTTGTCCTGCTACAGTTATGAGCCGTGATTTATTTCCTTTGGATTCTTCGTGACTAACAAAGTAATCCAGAATGAAAGGAATGAATGTTAAAAATGTTTTTACAAATCAAAATGCAAGATCCAGTTGCCTTCAAAAAGTATTTGACGACGAGGGAAACGAAAGAGAGCAGCCCGCAACATGGAAATATGGAGAAGTTTAAACTCAACTTTGAAGTCATGTGTTGTGAGAAAATGACACAAAGCATGTACTATTTACTCCGAGTACAACTTCCTCACTTTGAAACCCGGTATTGGAAGTATCATGCTTTGGGGGGGCTTTTATATTTTAGGGACTCGTTGGACCAAAATCAAATTGAGAATTTGTGGCAAAACTTTAAAATGGCTGCTTGACTGTGGTTGAGTTTAGAGTTGATGGCAAAAGATGTGATCTGATGGTGGAATCTTAGATCAGAAATAGATTGTCAGAATCACAGGATTATTATTTCATATGATGTTTTTTGGCTTTTCTTTGATTCTCTTTTCTGTGTTTATGCTTTTTTTTTTTTAAAAAAAAACAACAACATAGTTTTGGTATTTTTGGTCAAAGAGGGTTTATGATGCAATTTTGTGCATTTAAATGTTTGTTGATTTCCTGTTTTCATCGACTAAAGCAATCCTGGTGTTTTTAAAAATGTAAGCTTTTTGTTTTTAGTGGTTTTTGCACTCTTCTTTCTCTTGTGTTCTGTAAAATGTTTCCGTTTTTGCTGTGCAAAATGTAATTGTGAAATTATCAACACTTTGCTCTCAGAGCCTAAAAATTTGATTCCATTTTTTGTTTACAACATTTCTGTATTTTTAGCCACCCCCCTAGGACCACTTCACATTCGCTGCTAATAGCTTTTCCTACTTCATCTGCATGCCATGTTCCCATTTGGTTGCTGCCACTCCCCCTCCACAATAAAGCTCAGATTTCTCTGATCATATAAACACAGCCCTCAGGTGAAACGGCATGAAGACAAAGCATCCAGTTTCATGGACAAAGCACTCATCGTTCCCACTTTCACTTCAGCCCAGGCCAGGAACTGCAGCATTTCAAAAGGGCCTTGAAAAATGAATCAAAGAAAATGAGAGAAGAGAGAGAACTAGAGCAGCAAAGTTTTTCATTACTACTCTTCAGAGCAGATGTATGTTGCTTGATAAAATAAGTCCCAGTGACTGAGTTTGGTCATGTGCTGCAGCGTCAGCATTATTAACCCTGAGCATCCGAGGCTGCAGCCCTGAACATCGTCTGACCCATGTATTAAATATTTAAAAAATAACGAGGAAATGTCTGATATGCTATTATTATTATTATTATTATTACTTCAAGTTAAATGTATATTTACTTCATTCTACATGCACCGTAAAAAGCTGAAACTGCCTCCTATAGTTTAGTTCTGGAAACTCTCAGTAACAGGTCGCTAATGGCAGAATGTCATTCCCACCTCCTGTTGAATAAAAACTGGCTTGAGAAAGCAACATTTTTGCAAAATTTTTGAAAATAGGTGCAAAAGGAACATAAATTTAGCCAAACAAAGAACCGATTAAAAGAAACTACGTATTTTCCTGGGACGAATGGCAACATGTCCAGCAAGAGCAAAATCAAAGGCTTGTTGATACTTTGCAAAAGCTTGTACTTTGCATCCGACTTGCTAAATATGTAGCCAATTATTAATGCTGGTACATATTTCAGCATATTTTATTTGATCAACTGTTCAGGTTCATCATTAAACTCCCTCAAATTATGTGATATTCCTGCCCTATATAACCTCAACTCTATACATGTAATACATGGTGAAACAAATAAATACAAAGACACCAGGGAAATCATTTTTGGCTTTTGCAGATATGCAGTGGTGCTGATGACATATGTATTATCTTCTTTCCTGGGTGAGTTTGGTGAGGCCAGAGGAAGAAGAAGCTGTGTCTCTTTTACTGATGGCAGCAGAATCCAACGTCATCAATTATAATCTCAACTTCCTGACGACAAACTGAATCAGTGAGTCTCTGATTATTTATGAAGTCACTTTCTAAGACACAGACCTTTACTTACAAGTTTTTTATTATTTTATTTTATTTTTTTACAAACATTGGTAATTTTGACTAATAGACTTTGTTCTTGACAGCTTTGTCTGTGAGGCATCTTTTCCAGACAGACTGTGGATTTCTCATGTTAGAACAAATAAAAAACCCAAAAACATAACAAAAGCTCAGATTACAGAAATGATAAAATGATGTAACCTCGTTATGAACGTATAGTGAGCAAAGAAGACGCAAAGACAGAAAGCATCTAAATAAATCACATTTGTGCTTGAACTGCCTGTTTGGCTGAATTCGATTCTATATGAAATAAACTTATTTATGACATCAGTTTTTAGTCGAATTATGAGATGTAAAAAAAAAAAGAAGAAATCTATTTAAACTTCAGCTCCTTTGTGATTGTGTCTTTGTTTTTTAAGCAGAGCTTGGGAGATAAAAAGTGAAGAGGAGGAGCAAGAAAAGACAAGAGACAGAGGAAGATGTCGAGATGCAACACTGAAAGGCTGACAGGCTGCTATAGTTCAAAAACGTGTCACACAAGAGGATTACAGATTCTTAGTTGTGCTTTTTGGATTTTTGTTTTTACTAAGTTTTCCATTTTGGCTTCATCTTTGTTTTCTAAATATGCAAATAGCGCATAAATTACAGATGACAAAAGTATATATTAAAAATTTTCTATGTTAATTCACTTTGGATGCCAACAAATTTAAATGAAACGTAGGATTATGACAAGTTTGCATGTAAGAGAAGGGAGTAGAACAGTAGGAGAACAGAGTCCGGCCAACAATTATGGAGCAACACACCTTACAGTTATTCTCTCGCTTTTTTTACTAAAAGATAATTTAACACAAAGATCCAGAGAAAAAGACATTGATGACAGATTTTTAACGTTCCCATAATCCCCCTGTGAGTTGCACTAAGCAGGGCCACTAATGTAAGCCACCATTGCTCGGATTCTTTATTGATTTGCCTCTCAGCTCCTGTACAGACGTCTGTGACACCAGGTTCTGCAGGGGTGGTGTTTGTAATGCCACCCCTCTCTGGGATCATCCAGTGCTAGAAGGAGAAGCGATGGCCACCCAGTGAACACTTCCACATCGATTTTTGCTTGACGGGGCTGCCGATCGGGAACTCATACTGAGCTCAGCTTGTGTAGAATCTGCAGCTCTACACTCATTTATGCAGATGCGCTCAGTGAGGGGTTTTGATGCATGCAATGGAGTTCAGCGCCCTGGACGCCCTTCTCTCATGGGCTGCAAAGGAAGAGAAAAAGAGGTTTGGTCAGTTGTGCCCCAAGCTGAGTTTCCTGTTGCTTATTTTGGATCCACAGAATGGGGATTTGGGGCCTTCTGTTATTTTGCATAGAGAGAAAATGAAGCTGTGCAACAGTAGTTCAGTGGGTTAATAACTCTAAAGGAACATTTAACTGTTTTTATTTTCTTTTTACTGTACAGTTTAAACAAATAAAAGTGCTTAACCTGAACGAAACTGAACTTCTTTAATCAGCTCTGAATAGAGACAGTTCAAAACACAGTTCCAGATTTCTGAGTCACTTATTTTATTTTTTCTAATGCTGTATGGTCCTGATTTTGATGTGGAGTCAGCAGGGGTTAAAATGGGAAACCTGAATGGTCCACAGATATATGGTCATATACTGTACAATGAAAGGAGATACTCCGTGTTCTTTCTATTACATCCAGCACTAACTTATTCACTTATTGAGGCAGGGAGCTTTCACTCGCCGTGCATCCAGTAGCCTTTTCCTGACCCTCTACCCATTCCTTGGGGTGTTCCAAGAAAGCGTTCCTTTCTTGGAACACTTTTGATCAAGCTGAACACTGCAGGCTGGGAACACCCCACAGGACCTGCAGGTTTGAAGATGCTCTGATCCTGTCATTTAGTCAGCTTTAGCCAAACTCCCTCAAATCCTCACATTTGTTCATTGTTCCTGGTTTTAACACTTTAGGGGCTTTCACTGCCTGACATGCCATTCTAACAGAAAGGAGTGTGTAAAGATAATTAAACAAGATATTTACATACATATTACAATTACCTTCCTGATATTTTGACTGGTTTTCTATTTGTCCATGTTGTCACAGGAGGAAGCAGCGTGTCTTCGTGTGAAATGTTTTGAATGAACATTAGAGGATCAAAAACACGAATGACATCATCATATGAGCTGTCCTAAATTGTACTTGAGCAGCTTAGAAAAATATATGCAGTCCATACCTGACTCTCGTTGTTGCAGTTGTTTTTATTAGAAGGGACACAGAGCTCTGCGTTATGACCGTAAACGGCTCTGAGGGAGAGCAGAGAGGCACGCAGCCTGGTAGAGCCCGATCAATGCAGCAAAGTTACCCTGAACCGTTTCCCCAATCCGGTGCGTTTTTGGAGGAAGAAGCGGAACTCGGTGCGGTTGCGCTTCAACTCAAATCTGCGGCGTCGCAGCAACACCTTGACCGCTCGCGGAGAAGCTGCAGATTCATAAAACTTGAAAAGCCCCGCCCACACCGCGCGGCCAGCGTCTGTTTACGAAAAGTCACGGGAGCAGCATGGAGCGAGCGGAGAAATGAAACAGCGCGCTGCCAGCGGGGGGAACAGTCAGACTCAATGTGAGCGGACAGTCAGCTGCGCTCCTCGACGTGAAGTCTGCCTCTCTCATGCGCGGTTAGCGTCCGCTGACGTTCCCAGGTTTCACACGCGCGGAGCTTCGTGGCGACTTGGACACGCGTCTGCTGGGAGCATTTCTGGTTTTCTTCTTTTGAAACTAATAGACTTAGAGAGAGAGAGGAAAAAAAAAAAACAATGACGAGGCGTAAAAGGCTCGACCTACCAAATTGTTCCGCCTGAACCCAGCCAAGACCAAACAGCTGTCTCTCTCCCCCCTCCTCCTTGTCGCCCCAACCTCACGGCTTCTTCGGGGGGAGAAAGATCGGCGAAAAGATATAGAAAGGAGTCAGGGGTGTGGGGGTAGGGGGTGGGGGGGCGACATGGATTGTCCGACCGAGAACCCTACCAGGGCTGCGGAATATCTGAAGGAGCTTAACAAGATCATCGAGACCCAACAGGGGCTGCTGGAAAGGCAGAGAGGGAGGATAGAGGAGCTGGAGCAGCAAGTGTCCGACTTGTGCGCGGAGAACGCCTGCCTGAAGGAGCAGTACCAGCGGCACCTGGCAACCTGCAGGCTGCTGCAGGGCACCAGCAGCCTGGTCACCCTGGGAGCCATCAAGGAACATGTCACTCACGACAAGTAAGAGATGACAAATAATCATCACTTTTTCTATATCAAAGTTAAATGCCCCCCACCCACGCTCATCAGCATACTCATTAAAGTTGGGAAATGTCCCCAATGACAGGCTGCCACGCTCTGATCGGCAGTTCATTCTGGGGTTGGTGGCGTCTTGCTGCTTAAAAATGGGTCGCTCAATTACACAGAAAAGCAGAAAATCGCTGTAGTTGGGTTGTAAAAGAGCCCTGAAAATGCGTATGGGGAAACCCTGGCCATCCCTGTGTGCGTTAGGATGAAGCAGCAAGCACACGTTTTAAAACGCAGAGCTGCATTTTGTCTGACCGACGTGCCACAGCAGATGAGCACATTTAGACGGGATGTCAGTGACGCGAATGTGGTCGGTAATGTGTGTTTATTTATTTCCCCCGCCTCTGATCATCTATTCAAATATTTCCCCCTCGTCGCAATCGTGTTCAATAATTTCTGCTGCAAAAGTTGCCATACTTTTCAGTAAAACTCACTTTGCTGCCACCAAAACACGTTTGTTTCGCTGTTTGGTGATAAATCATCCACACGCACACCCACGCACACGCAAAACAAGCTTCCAGGTATATGCCCTTTGACATATGGTGCCCTATTTTTGTGTTAATTTGTGTCTTTCTTTGTATTTAAATTCCTCTTTCTAAAACATCTACTTAAATTAAGCAATATGTGAGAACACAGGAAAATTTGGCAGAGATGAAGCACATGGAAGAGGTTTGAGGACCAAGAGAGCAATCTGGAATGGTCAAATTAAATCACCCCAAATCCTCTGGGACCATTCAAGCCACTTTATAGACAGAAGCATAACAATGCATCCAACTCATGATATTAAGTTTATTGTAGCAATATTTCATGTAAACTAATATTTACTGATGTCAAACGTGACAAAAGATCTTTTTTGTTGTTGTTGTTGTTGTTTGTTTTCACAAAATGGATCTTAAACTGTTTCTTTTTTTTAAAAAAAAGATAATTATTCAGTTTAGGTTTGACCACTGCATTTTAGATTTTGAATTAGATATGCTCAAATATGTTCTTAAAATGGTTTATTAGCGTGGCACTGATGATAAGCTAACTTTATCATCTTTGGGGTTATCAGAGTCAAACTCTGGCCCAAATACATCAGGTTGAACCCCTGGCAACCTTCAAAGTGATGTCAAAACTAATGAAAAGTCGCTATCTGTTCACCAATATCAGCAGATCAACGCATTTCGCGGGCCTCTTGTGACGTCGTCAAGTCAAATGCACACAAAGCTGATTACGCTGTTTGTGTTTCATTGAAGGCTTTTGGAATACCATGCAAAAACATCAGTGGCAGTCTCTATTTCAGTACTTGTCTGTTTTTTTATCTTCAATCCACATTTGCTTTTTAAAGTGCACTGGATATTATCTTTAAATGTTCTGGATAAACACATTAGTATCTGTGAAATTATGTAACAAAACAAGGGACACTAATTGATTATGCAGCTATGCTTCAGGCAAGGCAGTGGGTTGAGCTTCAGGAAGAGGAGAGCAGATAGAGTAACCTCACAGAGCATCTGGCTGTAGTTTCTATAAAAGACCTTTATAGTTGGGCACCATCAGGATTACCCTCCCCGGTTAAAGTTCACTGTTGTTCAGCTGGATTCCCAAAATGCCTCGGCATGCAGACATTTGACTGAGCTTCTGACAGCCTCTAGGATCATGTGATTGTGCCTGACCTTTGTCTCCGGGGACATGTCCATGTCATGGGGATCAGTGGCAGCAAATCAATACTTTTGACTCAGGGGCTGTGTGTCTTTGCTGGTTGATAAAACCCGACTCATGAGATTAGGCCGCTGACCTTTAGCATACTTCCATCTGTAAATCTTGCTGTAGCGTCATGAAAGAGCATTCTGTGGGGGCTTCTCCATAAAATCAGCCTTTTGTCATCTTTGATCCCCCTAAGGCCTCAGTGGCTGTTGAGTGTTGAATTTTACTCAGAAATCTGTTTACCTCAGCAACTCCTGATGGATATGTAACTGCTGTTTGGTTTATGGAGAATGAATTATTTAAAATGTTAGTTATGGAAAGACATTTAAAAAGATACAGAGGCCTTCAGCAAAGCTTACACCAGGGATATGGACCTTTCAATTTCTAATATGTACTCACTGTGCCTTGCAAAAGTATGTGTAGCTCTTAAACACTTCACATTTCCTCACAGTATGAAATGTGAGGAAATAAATAAAAGGAGTCTATTTTTTAAAGATAATTATCCAGTTTAAGTTTGATCACTCCATGAATAACCTTTTTTCTACCATAAACTTGTATATTATTAGAGTTCAATGTGATAGACCAACAGAAAGTAGTAGATAACTGTGAAGAAGAAGAAGAAGAAGAAGTTGCTTTTCATATTAATTTACAAACAACAATTTGAAAGGTGCACCATGTCCAATATTTCCATGCGCTACAGAAACTTCTTAAACTGCAAAGACAGCTGCAATCGTTGGGAGTGTGTCCCCAGCAGGTTTGCACATCGGAACATTGGAGAGCATATGGAAGCATCTCAATGCCTGAGATTGTACACAATGCAATGTGTACACTGAAAACCAATCCCTCCTGGATTGGTTGTCAGTTAGGTTTATCCATCTTCCATTCAACTCTAATCAGCTGTACTGAAGAACAAAATCCCAACAGCATGATTCTGACATCATTCTATTTCACATTGCGTTTTCAAGGTGTGTTCAGCCTATGTTTTCTGCCACATATATCATTGCACATGCAAACCAAAAAGCTTAATTTCAGTTGGACCTGACCGGGGCACATTTTTATGTAAGTTTACTGCGTCCCATTAATGGTTTGTGAAAACTGTAAAGTGGACCTCGTGTAGTTTTCTTGAAATAATATGTTTTTCTTGACTTACTTTCATTTTGTTTTTGGGAAGTGCATGATTGATACTTTCATTTGTCGATAGAAATCTCCCTCCTGAGTGGTGGTTCTGTAGCTTCTCTAAAGTTTCCATGGCCCATTAGGGTTTTTTCTGACAAATTCTGTTTTTGCTCTGCCTGTCTGGTTTGGTGTTGGTAGCTCTACACATGTGCCAGACTGTTTCTCTTTTTGAATCATAAATTGAATAGTAGGGGATTGATAACATAATCCAGCTTGAAACTCCACACTCTCTAGGTTTTTTATTAGTGACAAAAAGTTATTACTATGCTTACTTTATCTTCTGTTGCACAACTACCCTATTTTTTGTATTTGTATATATATGTATATACGGTGTGTACTGAGAACTTACTGTGGTCTCTTCTTTCAAATGAAACTGTTTAGTCACCAGCGAATAGCAATGGAAGCAAATATATCTTTCTTTAGTTCCTTGTTTACCTTCAGGGTTTTCCAGGAAGGTCTGTGCTGAAAGTGTTCTCTGTATCTGACTTTCTCTGCATAATTTCAAAGTGAGTATGGAGCAGCATCAGAAGTGCCAAAAGGCGTACAACTATTCAATTTCTGTGTTTTATCAGAAAACACTGAAAACACCCCAAAATCCTAGCTTTATACATATCTCTATATCTATTTTACTTCCGGGAGCTTTTGTTTGAAGGCAGTGCAAATGCTGACCGAGTTTAAGAAATGCATATTTGACATTTATCATGAGTGCAAGTTATTTTGGTGTTAAGAATTTTATTCTTTCTGAGGCGGTGAACGCTGTCTCTTTTGTTTTGAGCCAAAATTGATTTGAGTGTGTGAATGTTCACACATATTTTGGCCACATTATCAACCGAATAAACACTCCAGAGCAAATGAAGGATCACGTGTCTGAAAATCAACACTATCTTCAAACAGCAGATGTTTGAAGGAACACGCTCCAGTCCATGGCATTGCCTTTATTTCCTCTAAAATGAATGCTGTGCAGGTTGGCGAAGACAAAGCATATCCGGCTTCTTGTGACATGACACACTGAAGTGTCTTTTCAACAGTATGCCAAGAATGTAGACAAAGCTGTTTGTAGTGTAAAGACTTTCCTTTTCCTTGTTCACTTGGATGATAGTTGTCATTGCTGTGACTTACAGGAACTGGATGAGAGAAGCAAGTAGGTTTTCCTCCAGTTAAATAAATAGCCTTTTCCTCTTGAAGAAAAACATGATTTTGTACTATAATTTTTTTTCTGTCTTGTGTCAAATAAAAAGGGAAAGATATTATTGTACATTGACCTCTTAAGAACTTTTGAATATTAGAATATATTTGAATATTTGAACAAATTTGCAGAATTTCTGGGTTTCATCTGTACAAACAGTGAAGTTTGTACAGTGCTGGAACTGTGAGTCCAACATTCACCTTGTTGCATAAGCATCAGAATAGTGTAGTTCTCCTAGAGGAAGAGAGGATGTAAACGCATGTAGAGAAATCTTAAATTAATTTTAAGAACTTCGTATTCATGTGCTTTTAGAGCACTCTTTGATGCACAATATATTGATATCAACATAAGGATCAACAGATGCCTTTTTTTTAACATATCCATATCTGTCCGATAAGTAAAGCTGAGCTGATATGAACAACCAATGTTTGTTTCTATTTTGTTCCTGCTTGTGTTT